GTAGGATGGGTTGAATTCTGCTTTACTGTTCCCCGGGGTCAGCCATTTGTTTCAGCAACTGTGGAACTGCCCCTTCTCCATGTATCTACAAAAATTATGTTCCCCAAAGTCTCTGAATCTGTTTCTGAAACTTTATTGTAGTCCAGGAGTTACTCTTCTTGATGTCATGGCTTCCTTTGCAGAAGTTTTGTGAACCTTCTGTGGATTTATTAACTTCCAGCTGTTGCTTTGATTTTGTCTTGGAGGCGAAGTTATGTGTCCTACCATTTGATAGCATGTGGTACACAAAGCTGCCCTCGAAGGTCTTCGTGATTTTTCTGCCTTAATTGTAAGCTGAGATTCTGTGAGTGTCAGATGTTGCCAACTTCGTAATAGTTTAAGATCTTATATTCAGTCTTTATTTATATAACTTGGGAAAGGCCGGTTCCTCTACTTAGAGTTTCTTAGACATCAGAAATGGTAATGTAAGGCCAGCCACACAGATATCAAAAAATCACCCTCCAGGATCTCTAGCAGGCATCCTCCTCCAGGATCTCACAGCAGGCACCCTCCAGGAGAACAAGGACATCCTGGTTCTAGAATGAAGTGAGAATCCAGCAGTCCTCTGCCTTGATGGCCCATTGGAGCTGGGCCCACTGGATGGAGCTGACTGCACTGAGGGTGAGCAGATCTTCACCCTGTGTAGGGGAAGCTGTAGCCACGCCTTCTTAGGGGCTGGCTATTCTACCATGGTAGCTGGGTACACTAATGGTGTACGAGTAACAACCTTAGAAGAATAGTCATGATACCTGGGTGGAGTAGGTGCCTGGGATTGGAGTGATCCTGCTTCTGAGGCATCCCACTGATCTTTAAGCCTAGCAATGATATCCTTTTGAAAAGTTTCAATCTCCTTAATCATAAAAGATTCTAAGCACGTTAGTGAATCTGTAAATTGTTCTAACTGTTCATCTACACGTTTTTCTAGGTCTTTCATACGATCATCCTTAGACAGCATCTGGATGGCATGGAAACTGCCTTCTAGGTATTGGAGTCTAGATTCCAGGTCATGATTTGCTGATTTTGAGTCCTCAGCAATCGACC